AGAGAACCAGGGAAGAGAGTTTATGGTCACTGAAGGATTTGCACAGCAACATCCTAAATGTAAGAATTGGTCGTCAAGACAACTAGTAGTTGTGCACTACATAAATTGGGCCTCTCTGTAAGAGTGGCAAGGTTGTGAATTTGTTTAAACTGTTTAAAAAATATGTAATGTTCTGACATTTTGTATTATTTATAAAAATTTTCTTTTTCTAAGCTTTTATCGTGCTTTTGATAGTAACAAAACAACCAAAAAAAACCCCCAAAAACTGAGCCTTGCATGCAAAATTAATTGCATTGAGAAAAAAAGGACAGGAATTGAGAAGGACGACACTTTTCATACAGTGAAAAACATGACTATTCTTTTGTATAATGAGATTTTATTAAAATATTACAAATTTTCAGTAAGAAAGAATTCAGCCCTTTTTAGAGTAAAAGCTAAATGCATATACAGTACATATATAATAAACTTCCTTTTGACTTGAATGTCAACATCTCTATAAATTATCCTTGAGTTTTCATTTGAAAAAATTAAATATATGAACCTCGGACAATAACATGCACACCTTAAGGCATGAAGGGAGCCAAGGTGATTAGAGGTGTATATCCTGGTAACCACAGAGCATAAATTCTGCTGCTGCCATTTCAAAGGACCGTCAAGGGGCCTTTTGACAGAAGTCTCACATCTGCTGTTTTTGACTCAACAACATAGCATACAAATCTTTGATCTTGTCATTTTCTAGTATTCATTGTTGTGTGCTTTTATTCTTTCAAGATCATTAGCTTGAGCTCCTGGAGGTACAGCAGGTAAATAATATTTAGATGTGGAACCACTTTGCAAAGACAGGGACCCAAACTGTTCCCCTGAGATGGAAGCAACTTGTTAAGATGTTCTAAGAGCAACACAAGGACTTACTCAGGTTCAAGTATGAAATGAAACAGTATATTCAACGTTTCCCAGGCCAAGGACCCCCGAACTGATGGCGAGATGGAGCTGGGATCCCCTAATTATATATATTGTATAAAATTGTATTATATCAAACTGGTCCTATAGCCATTCTATTACAGGTGGAGTCATGTAATAAAAGTACTTTTGCCCTGGGATTATTAAAGCATTTCTGATTCTGATTTAGATTCCTCATTGATGGGACAGGTGTGGTGAGTGAAATAGTGTTCAGCTTGAATGAATGTGTGCACTGATGACTGAAAGACATCTTCTGCCTCCATTTATCTGTTTACTACAATGTGTGAAATTCATGTTAATGTAGATTTAAAGACATTTCAATTAGTGGAAAAAAATGCAGGGGGGAATATAAAAAGAAAATCTAGTCAACCAAAACTTTCGTGACTCCCATGCAGTACCTCCGTGGACCCTCTGCTGAAGACCTCCGATCTAGAGGATCAGTGTAGCTGTCCACTATGTCTCAATGTTTGTATTGTACAGGAATATAAGAGACTGTCTACAGATATGGTGCTTATTGCTGATTATCTGTGGTATTGGCAAATTGTAAGGATTGTTTTACACAGAAGGAGGATTAATATCACCAGAAAAGGTGTTCCAATGGAAAACAAATTATCTAAATCGGAGGTCTTCAACAGGGGGTCCGTGACCCGTAGGGGGTCCTCAGAGGTACTGCATGGGGGTCGCAAAAGTTTTGGTTGATTAGACTTTTTTTTTTATATTCCCCCCTGGAATTTTTTTTTCCATTAATTGAAATGTCTTTAAATACACATTAACATGAATTCAACACACTGTAATAAACAGATAAATGGAGGCAGAAGATATCTTTCAGTCATCAATGCACACAAAAGCTCTTTCAAGCTGGGCACCGTTTCATTCACAACACCTGTCCCATCAACAAGGAATCAGAATCAGACTTTAATAATCCCAGGGAGAAATTACTATCGTTACATGACATTATATGAAATAGACTGACTATAGGACCAGTTTGATATTACACAATTTCATGCAATGTACTGTATATAAATAGGGGGTCCCCGCTCGATCTGGCCATCAGTTTGGGGGTCCTTGGCCTGGAAAACCTTGAAGACCCCTGATCTAAATAATGCATGGAATATTTATTCTCAATAGATAAAGTACAGAAACACAAAGCTTTGGTATAGACATCTTAAGCTGGTTTATGGGAGCTCTACCAATTCTACCAAAACTAATGGTCAAGCAAGGGGAAACACAAGAAATAACAGTACTTTTCCCGTTTCTGGAAATTCAGTGGAATAACCCAACAACTGAAAGATTACACTACTGCAACACAACCCACGACCATGGATAGGCAGCAGTAGCACAAGAAATAGTTTCACCATCCCAAAGAAAATGAATAAAAGAACTCTATAGACAACGAAACTGAAGACATAAAAAGAGGATAAACACAGGGCAGGCCTTCTCTAGTTAGAAGGAGCTAATAAAAGACTATAAAGGGGATGCTGAACAAGTAATTGAACTGCACTGCCTAAATTCACGTAAAGTATTTTTTAAAATTTGGTTCGAATAGAGTGTTTCAAATAGAGTGTTGTAAACATATACCAATTTTGTTGGTACAGAATTGTAGGTTTACATGGGTTTAGTAGCTTTCAAAGCTGCATTGAATGCTTGCTTTTTGAAACAGTAAATGCAAACTTTTAACTTCACCTCAATGCTTTTTGACATTTGGTGGACATTCATGTTTGAGGAAGTGAGGTTCCAGGATGTAATGCTAATTTGAGTAAATCTGACACTATATCTTTGTAAAGCATATCTGAAGGGGGAAAAAGATATAGTAAAAAGATGTACCTAATAAATGGTTGGTGACTTTATGTATATTTTACTCTATTATAAAAAAAAATCCAAATGTTTGGATTGGACTAGCCACAACAAATGCATCCAACTGTTTTTTCTTTCTTTAATTCAAGCCAAAATGATAATTAAACACTCAAATATAATATGATAGTCATGTCTAAATGTGTTTATGCGAACCTCTGATTGCAGCTGCTTATTGCTGAACAGTAATTAGCTCATCATTGCTAATTAAGGACTGCAATCAGTTTAAGTCATTCTTATGTGTAAGCCTTTTTTGTAAACATCGTCATCCCCAGACCTGAAATGATGAGTGGGCCACCCGTTGAATTGGAGTTGGCTCTGCTCTTTCATGTTAAATGAGAGCAGCATCAGCAATGCAGGAACTGGTTAGAACGATAAACCTGTCAATGCCTGATTCTTCACTTCTGCTGTCACAGAGAGCAACAAAACAACCTTCACATTTCCCACTGGGGTGGAAGTGTGCAGAGTGTAAAGGTGCTCTTCTTCCTTCTGTCATAAAAATTCTGCACGAGCAACAATGTGTCAAAGCAACATCCTATATGTATAATAAGTGGGCTTACAAAGTCCCTGACTGTTTCCTCACCCCTTCAATGGCACATTGAAAAATCGATGGTTACATCCTTGTGTTGTAGCTCTCGTTAAAATTATGCTCTTCAGGACAGCTTTATGCTGCTTCTGTGCAGAAATTTGCAGGATTACCAAAGAGCTTCCAACTGGAAGAACTCCGCTGTTCAGCAACTACTTGTTCTGTTGTGGCTGAAGTGGAATTTAAACTACAAACCATCTTAGTTATAATAGACAATGGCTTACATACGGGAACGCACATATTCCTTTTTACCAACTACTGTATTAGGGCTTAAAAAGACGATGCATTTTGCAGTGATTAAACATTTCTTAAAAAAACAAAACAAAAACAAACATAAGGGATTTCAGTTTCATTGTCCGATCTAACAACTGTGTGGAAGGGTGTAATAATTCAACAAGGTCAGATCATGTGTTTACATTTTGATTTGTACATGGTCATTGTTTTCATCCCTCCAGACCTCGTATTATTTCTTTTAATCTAAATATGTATTCATACCTAGTATGAAACAAGTATTATGGGACAGTTTGCAACAAAATTAGGGTAAGAAAGTTGACAAATTTACAAAATTTGCACAATATATCTGAGACTGATAGCCACAGATATAATATAAAGCTAATAAACATAAGAAGAAAAAAGACACCTGCTGGCTGCAGTGGAGTTGATATGATGCTAATTAAGTCCGTCAGTGACATTATCACAAATCCATTGACCTTCTTTGGTAATTTGTTAGTCCCAACAGATTCATTTCCAGGCAAAATCAAATCTACTAAAATGATATAACTGTACAAAGCTGCAGATAAACTCCACTTGACTAATTATAGACACATTTCATTACATTTCCTAAAACACTTGAAGAGCTGTTTATTCAAAGACTAGATCACTCCATGGATAATCATAACTGCCAGCCAGTATGATTTCAGACAAAACAGATGCTCAACCTTTATCAAAACATGAACATGTTTCATAATTAAATTAACAGAAAACATTATATTTACAGCAGCATTGACAGAAAACTACTCTGCTGGAGGACCTGTTTAATTAAAAGAAAGCTTTTGGCACAGCTGATCATGATGTTTTAGCCTAGAAAATGGGCGGGAAGGAGTATCAGGAGAATTTATGACCTTTTGGGTAATTTTGAAAGATTGTCTTCTGACAGAGAAAACTTGGTGAGGAGAGGTTAAGTTTCAAATGGATTGTGTTTGTACCAAAAATAATCAGATGTTATCTGGATATAAATGGATGAATGATTAATTGAAACAAAGAACAAAGATGGTGAATACAGAAAAATGTGCAAAACAAGATTCTGGTCAAATAAATCATCATGATATCTACTTTATGTATTTTTTTCCTTTGTACATATTAGTTGAATTATAAACAAATATTAACCATAATCTGTAAATAAATACTGTTAATTGGAATTAAATAGACTTGAATTATTGTAATTATTTCTAAAAGGAGTAGAAACATACAACTTCTACTTCTTTATACTTGATTTTGTTCATCTTAGTTTTTATGTTTTGGAAAAAAAAAGTGTATTTACACTTAAAATATATTAAAAAAGATTCAATTTTTAACTATTCTTTACCTCCTGTATTCTTTGCAGGCGTCTTCACTGCACCAGAAACTACATCCACATGCATCTGTTTGTTTCCTTCATGTTACGGGCTGTAAGCATTTTTGTAAAGGACAAAGTTGTTTATTCAAGTGCTGGATTGCAAGACTTTGACTCAGCCCTGCTGGATAACTTGAAATCAGTGAGCATTGCATCACTGGACAAGTCACAGTATGTAAGTATCATGTTGTCTTTTGCAATATCTTTTCTTTTTCTAAATGTTCTTTTATTTAACATTTCAAATTAGATTAATAATATTTTAAATAGTTAATATTAGGTTTAAAAAAAATCAAAGTTTTAAATCAGCTAAAATGGCCTTTCACCACTTTAGAGCGTTTTTAATGAGAGGCCTAATAGAAGACCAGTGTTTTCTCTGGCATCAGTAAGTTGGGTGAAAAATGTTGCAGAAAAAAGGTCAATTCGGCTGTGGGAAAATACTTGTCGTGATTTTAAACCAGCGTTTCCCAACCTTCTTTGATTGTGTACCCCTTTGGTTATTTTGTCTTACCGTGAGTACCCCTCTCCGTCAAAAGCATTGATGACTGGAATGTACAATAGCTGATTATAAAATGAGCATTTCATTCTTAGGCATTTTATTATTTCCTTCTCTAAAAAAACAACATAAATATGATGCCCAGGATCACATTTAAACTTGAGGAATTGGAAACAAAATACCGAACAGAAATTATAGTCAGACTGACTCCATTTGTTTTATTTTGTTTTCATCACCTGAAATTGCTTTGATCAAGTGTGGAGAAATCCAGTCCATTCCTCTGCCTGGTTTTAATTTGTGTCAGAGCTGAAAGTGAACTAAACATATAAGAAAAACTGACTTTTTGGTTGAAAAAAAGCTTGCGTAATTTTCCAACTGTGTCCTCACAAAGCAGAACAGATCCAAGCCCTATTTTATTTTACTACCTAAGAAAAAAATTATTTTCATGTACCCCTTGCAATGCACTCGCGGACCACTAGGGGTATGAGTAAACCCTGTTGGGAATCACTGATTTAAACCACATCCAATCATGATGTGGAAACTATGGAAGCCCCGACTTTCTCCCCGTCTCTCGGAATAAAGTTTCAAAACTACAGTGTGGTGTCTGTAATACTTTTAAAGGCTGTGTATACTCTCGCAGCAGTGTGTCACAGTTAGCTTGTCGCAGGTATGGTGCAGATATTTTTGATTTATGCCAAATTTTGAAGCGTTGTGTTGTGAATAACTGTAATATTCAATGCCCAACCAGCTGGGACGCTATTTTGTGATACTTTAAGATGTGGCAAATATCTTATTTAATCCGATATTATTTGGACTGTCATATTTTGTTTTTGTGTGTTAGAACAACAAATAAAAGTGTGAATCGAGCTTAAATTATGGTCAAACAGATAATTCTGCACATACATAGAATAAATTCAACACAACTTCCATTCAAAATATGAGTTTATTAACAAAAATCATTCACTCTAAGTCTAACATATTTCAGTTAAAAATTATTGACTAAAACCTAGTTAAACTCAACTAAACTAAACTACTATGTACAAAGAGGAAGGGGAAACATGGTTGAAAACCATTTTACAGTTTCAGATGGGTTTTGTGTTTAAAAACCAAAGTTTATCTTGAAGGTTTTGGGATGTGATCAAATTAGCTTTTCACTAATTTAGAGAAATTTGAACGTTTTCAAACCAATTCACAATGCAAATCGATGAGGTGTATAAAACATTATTTGGCCACATAATGTTTTATTAAACGATTTGAGGCCATCTCTGAAATCTGGTGTTTCCTTTACTGTTCAGGAAATGTTCAGTTATATTTCTGGTCCTGTTGAAAATTATGGTAGCAAAGCACTTTAATTTGTCTTGGACAGTTTGTTTTTTCAGAAATATATTTGAATAAAAATTCAAAATCAAATTTTATTTGACCAAATTTTAATTTTGTAAATTTGTATTTATTATAACTTTTTTTCAGTTTTGTGTTATTTGAATTACTAGTCTGAATTGATCATTTTCTTTAATAGGAGGGTAGTTAACTTTGAAGATCACATAAAAATACATGGACTGTTTTCCCTTACTCTCTGACATTAAATCAGACGAAAGTTATCCTGTTTTGTGCTATCACCATAAACTTTATTTTAGCTAAATACGTGAATAATGTACAAAACTTCTTAAACTGTCTTTAGTTTAGTCTTTAGTTTTAATTTTCAGTAGAACTTGCTCAAAAGTGTTGAGTTTCCTTTCACAATTGTCTTACATTAGCAAGCCAGGGTTTTTGCCCTTCCCTGCTGAAATAACTGATATCATAGTTTAGGACTGTGGGATGGCCATGCACTTCAATTAAAGTTTATCTTTATAGTGCCAATTCACAATACATTTCATCTCAAGCCATTTATACAGAGACAATACAATCAGATCATGCAGTTGGATTGGTAAAAAGTTTTATATCTATGGAAAACCAGCTGATTTCAATGAGTCATTAATCTTATTGGATACATTCCTAATAGACACGCTTGTGGCAACTGTAGACAATCACTTCTATGGTGTTGTAGACTCTATAGTATTCTCTCACTTAGCATGAATACAGCGAAAATAAAGACCAAAATGACTTTTTACCAGAAAGAAAACCTCCTGCAGAACAAAGCTCAGAGCGGCCAACTGGGGGTTCAAAGAAATGAAAGCACACATGCAGTACAAGAGGAACATAAAAGAACAGATCCATAAAAACATTAGTGGTTGTGTCTGGGAAAGATACAGTTAAGTGGATAAGTTCTAAGTGAATTTTCACGCCAAAACGGATGAAAGAGATCATACAGTTATTCATAGTCGGAGTTTAGGCCATTGCTCTTTGTAGGAGAGAAACAGGACTAAACACTAAATAAATAGGCCCAGCTTTATAATTTAAAATCAAAGATGTTGACAACAGCAGCCATGGCCATGGGAAGTGGGGGGTTCTGCAGCACTTTCACAACAGAGTGCACAGAGAGAAAAAGCAGGACAGAATAAAAGGTAGTGCAAAATAAGTCCGACTTTTTACTTATCCATCTTTCTAATTTTGTTCATCTACCTTTTTAAATGTTGTTTGATCATTACTAGCTACTTACAGTAGTTTATTTCAAACCGTTAATCGAAGCTGATTGCAATTATTGACATTATCTGGTAATCTGTAATTTAAATGCAATCACATAATCTAGGAGGCGAAGTTTTAAATGATTATAGCACTTAAAGCAAGTCTACCAGATTTGTCCTTATAATAGAAAATTAAAATTTTTTATAAACCAGTTTAAAAGGGGTTCCATAAATGTGAAGAAAAGGCAGTTGTTGGTTAAAGTGAAAAAGTGACAATATGTTTAATTAAAAACACTCACATAAAAAAGGCATCTTGAATAGTTTACTGTAATCTATCATTTGTATAATAGGCTTGAGAAAAATTAGTGTTATTTTTAATTGCTGCAAATATTTTTGCACTGTCAGCCAATAATCAACAATAGTAAATCAAAATACACAGCTGTAGCGGATGTGTAGAAAGAAGTCAAACTTTATCATTTTCATGGCTATAGGCTTATTGACAGTAAGCCTCAACTTTTTTTCTTCCCTTTCCTATACTATAAAAATTTTGCATTATATAAAGAGAAAAAAAGTCCCTAACTTAGAAAAGCTTTCTCCCTCCTTTGATGAGACTGTGAACAGACTTTGTCAAACCCTGTATGCGTAGGATTCTCTATCTGGGAAAGTAAATAAAAAACAAGCGAGAAACAGCTCGGAGTTTGGTATTTGGATTTAAGATCTGTGCACTGCTCTGTAGGGATAAAAAAAAACAGAACACAGACAGTTGGAATTCTTTGATGACCTCGGTATGTTACTATTGTTACATATGGTTGAAGGTGTGCAGCATTTCATTTAAAAATTGTCCCACAATAAGAATCTAGCCATTTTTAACTGATGAAGGTGAATATATTACACTAATAATTTCTCAGGGCAAAAATGTATTTGCAGAGAAAGTCAATATTTGCGAAAATCTTGATCCAACTCTATAAGCAGTGTCGATGGATGATTGATGGATGGATGGATGGACAGTTGGAAGGCTGATAGAGGTATGGATGTATGGATGAATGAGGAGTGGATAAATGGATGGATGGATGGATGGATGGATGGATGGATGGATGGATGGACAGGTGGAAGGCTGATAGAGGTATGGATGTATGGATGAATGAGGAGTGGATAAATGGATGGATGATGGATGGATGGATGGATGGATGGATGGATGGATGGATGGATGGATGGATGGATGGATGGACGGACGGATGGATGGATGGACGGATGGA